GCCACATTAGGTTTGAGCTTGCCTGCTCCTGCTCACATGAAGAGCAGTGGAACCCTGGATACTGGATAAGCTGCAAACCAGCTCAGAAGCAGCACTGCAGAAATATTATGCACAGATGACAGCCAGCTTCCTTTAGCATGGCAACTTTCTCTCCCTCACAATGAGTGGATTCTTTTCAGCTCAAAATAGATTGTACATTTTATTTCCAAAGAATGTACTGGGACAGTCTGCAGCTCCCTGCAGACAGAGCTGTGGCCTGTTGAGAGTATGGAAGGGAACAAGCTGACATTTAAGTGTTTTGAAGGAATTGCTTTTCATCTGTGCTGCACCACTGGCTACACCCTTCTAAGGCATTTTAGCATTTAGGACCTCATCCTGCCAAGTCTCAGCTTTATGGATTGCCAGCTGTCCCACTGCAATCACTGGGACAATTCACAAAACTATTCAGACTTTACTTGAATGTTGAAATACTCAGCAGTACCCAGCAGCTTCTAAATGAATACACATCAGACTAAATTGTGCATATTGCTGTTCAAACAGCCTTGTGCCCTAAGAAACACCTCCTATGTGAGGTGTCAATCTCCACAAAAGGGACAGGAATCAAAGCTCAAGAATTAATTGACCAAGGCAGTCAAATGCTGCTTACATCCATTTTTATTAGAGATTTTGACATCTTGTGATTATTTCCTGACAAAAGGCTATTGCCCCAGACTAATTATACTGAAAGCCTTGACAAGTGGGAACACAGCAGCAATGTGAAGCTGAAGGGCATTTTGTTCTTCATCTACCACTGTTCCAGCAGGGACCCCAACAAACCACAGCTCCTGGTGGAAGTTTAACACACTGACAGCCCTCTTTGGAGAGATGATGGGATGCACACCCTCAGTCTCACTGTGCAGGAGGGAGCTGCATAGTGCAGACAGCTCCGAGATGCATGTTTGGCAATATCCCAACTCTGAATGTTCCTTTCATTTCATCCCAGCCCAGGAGACCCACACAGGTATCAGACGGAAGGACTGGCAATACCCATGAACCCCCGGTAGCTACAGCCAGAGCGGCATTACCTGCACACCCAGGCAGCTCCTGGGATTCCAGTTTTCCACAGCTTTGATTAACTCACACACTGTTAAACACTGCACAGACGAAGTTCCCTCTCCACAGACACACACACACCTCCCAGGTGCCAGCAGTACTATTGATGCTACTTTTCCACATAAAACTCTGAGTTTCTGGAAATGTTCACAAAAAGGTGTTAGCTCGACCTACCTTGAGTGGATAGTTACATCCTCCCAGGATGAAAACTGCTGGACCCAGTTCCAGAGGGAATTCCATGTTTTGATCAGGTGAGATGTTACACAACCAGAACCACTCACCATTAGCACCTTCAAACCAACGTTCACTGAGGTTTCAGACATCTTTAGAGAACACCATCCATACTGAAGAGCAGCTGTCCTAGGAGGGTTTGTGTCACAGAATATGCTCCTGCTGCTGTGATCAAACTTAAAGCTCAAGTTTCTTACAACTTAAGGAAGAAAATAAAAACCAAAGAACTATCTACAAAACGTTGACAAGGATGTATTCCAAAACCAACCATACCGAGGAATCAGCAGAAGTAAATAAAAGAGCAGAGGACAGTTGCTTCTTGAATTTTATTTCATCTTTTGCACCTGCCCAAAATGCTGCCTCCATTTCCTGGCAGCAACTCATTTCTCAAAAGATAGTTTGGAGTAAGCACAGACAGTCCAAGCCCATTTGCCACCACTCAGATTGCTTTACCTCAGTCCCAGTGAGCCCAGGCTCTCAGCAGAGCCAGCACCAAAGGGAAAGGCACTGCCTGAGCAGGGCTGCTCCCCCAGGGACACAGCACAAGGTCAGGCACAGGCAGAGAACACGTCAGTGCTGATTTACAGCACCCTGCAGGATCAGACACAGGCCCTGCAGAAATCCACAGCAGCACAACCAAAAGACACAAAATCCTACTGGCTTTATTGTGCTTATTTTTTTTAAACTCAGTGGTTGGAAGAGTTACTGTTAGATTTAAGATTTCCTTTTTGAAGGCAAACTAAAGAAATAAAAATGTGACAGATTATGTTTCCCTGCAAGTAAAATTTAAGTAGTGTTAACTGTTTAAAGAAAGATCAGTATTTAGTCTGTGATCAATTTATGGAATACAGATTGCATTTGTGATTAGAGAGGATTACACTCTCAACTCTGAAAAAAAATACACTAAAAACTCACTTGTTCCTTTCATTCTGAGATTCAGTTTGGTCACTGAAGGGTAAGAATGAAACATTTTTATGTCCTGAAAAGCTTATGTCAAAATGTGAACCAGTATTTCAACAACCTGGCTCATATACACTGTACCTCTAAGCACGAGTAAGTGCATTAGCTTCTGTAGGAAAGGAAAAAGTTTCTTTTTCTACCAAGTACAATTTCAAGAATGAAATTATATTTTTAAATCCAAGCATTGCCCTAATCTGGGGTCAGAACACCTCTTTGCTTAACACATCAAGGTGAAGTTACTTTTTGTTTCTGTGTTCCTTAAATTAAAAGTGAAGCACTGATGGTAGCTCTCTGTCTCGAAACAAAAGACAACCCACACTCTTCTCAGTGTGACCAACAGGGGAGTTGGACTATTCAGAACAATCTGATCCCAAAACCATCCTTTACTGTGGCATGAACAAAACTCTCCTGGGCAGCATGAGCCCTGCTGCGTATCTCTTATGTAATATCCAAAGTGAATTATTTAATACCAAAATAATCACTCTAAGGGAGCTCAGAGGACAGCAACTTCTACTTTTATAAGCCAGAGAGATGTGTGTTTCTTCAGTATTTTATTCAGTAAGCACATCAGCAAATGACATTTCCAGGGAAATCTACACACAGCTTCCTAGAAATACCAGTGCACACTTCCCTCCTTAGTTATCTTTAATTGTCTGGTTTTCATATTCCCCAAGCAGCTTATCCAGGTTTTCTTCCCCACTCTGTGATTTTCCCATTTTATTTTAATAAATAATGGACTGCACAGGTGATCCTAGACAAAACTCCACATCTCAGCTCTGCTGGACACATCAGCTCACTGGATGTCATCGTCATCAAAGAGATCTTCAAAATCTAGTCAGGAAAACAAGACAAAAATTAACCTCAGAAGTTCCAGTGTTACAAATGCACATGCAAGACAGTACTTTGTTCCTTGGATCAAGGACAGAAATAAAGGTGAATTCAGAGAATGAGAGTTACTGCACCATCAGTTATTAGAAATGCAGCATCAGGGTGATGATCTTGCAGATTAACAAATTGGGAGTTGTGTTAAAAACCCCTTCCTCAAAAACATTTAATTGTTTTGTGTTAAAAAGCCCTTCCTCAAAACCACTTAATTGCTTTAAAGGTGCCAATAACATTTCTGTCTCAGAACACATCTCCCAGTAGTGAAATGGCTCCAATCTCACTTGGAATTACTCCTAACTACTCAGCCTTGCCTCTTCTTTGCATGCTGAACATAAGCTAAGCACCTAAGTGAACACAGCCTTACAGAAGGCAATTTACAAGAACCTGCAATGAACTGAGGATGAATCCTCATTTAGAAGAGCCCTGAACTACCAGTGGAACACAATGCCAGTGTGAGGGTGCAGACAGATGGAAATAGCTGCTCCTGAACACGCTGGCTCCAACAGAGAGCTGAGAGCAGAACTGCCTTCCACTCACTCCTGTGCTCTCAGTCTTGGGTAAAATGAGAAATGTACTTTGTTTTGGAATTAACACCAGTTTGTGGCACTAACACCGCCACTGCCAGATTCAATAACATATAAAACTCACTGCTGCAATGTCTAAATGCATTTCTTGAGAAGCACAAAAACCCCTTTAGCCACCAGGTGCAGCGCAGTGTTGTGTATTCCATCCCTCCGTGGCTGCTCTCTCTCAAGGCAGCTGTAAATACTCACACCCAGGCTGAGAGAACGGGGATTGTTCAGGCTGGAAAGGACACGCTTCAGGGCGGCCTTTAGCACCTCCCGGGAAGGCTGACAGACTGTTCCCAGGGTCCTGGAGGGGCAGCACGGGGGGAACGGCTTCAAACTGACTTGGGGATGTGCACAAAACGCCTCCCTGCGCGGGGCCGTGAGCACCGGAGCAGATGGTGCAGAGAAGGCCACACTTTCACACGTATTTGCACTGTTTCACATAAGCCACCTCTCACACGAGCAGGTATTTTTCCTTGTAGCGATTAACGCCCTAAGAGTGCCCGGAGAGGAAAACCCCGCGTTCTACCGCTCGCACGGCTCCACCCAGAGCCGCCAGCTCAGCGGCCGCGGGGAGAGAAGCGGGGCGAGGTCCGCGAGGCTCTGCCCGGGCCGCGCCGGGCCTTACCGTTGAAGAAGTCGGCGTGCACCGCTTTCTCGTTGGCGGCCAGGTCCATCAGCAGCCCCGTGCTCCCCCCTGCCTGCGAAAGCAGCCGCTGAGCGCCCCCGCAGCGCGGCAGCGCGGCCGCGGCAGCGGAGCGCCCGCCTCACCTCGTCCAGGTCCACGTACGGCCCCGCGCCCTCAGGGAACATCTCGTCCACCGCCGGCTTCATGGCGGCCCCTCCGCGCCGCCGTCACTTCCGCCGCGCCGCCCTGCCCAATGGCCACTCCCGCCATGGCGACCACCAATGGAGGCCGCCACCTTGCTCATCCCGCCCCCGTCGCCATGGCGACCACCAATGGAGGCCGCCATCTTGCTCCCCCCCGCCCCATCTCCATGGCGATGGCAGGCCCTGCGCCCCTCCAGGCCTCAGTGAGGCATCAGCTTGCAAACAAAGTGGGTGTGACTGATACTGGCGGCCCCTCCAGCTCCCAGACTGGGTGCACTGGTTGAATAACTCCTGTACACACATAACTCCTCTGCACAGAGAGCAGTCTCCCGAGACTAACCTGAGAGCATCACCTGTGAAAAAAAAAGCTCCCAAAGCCATGCAGCAATTAACAAGTTTATTGTGTCACATAGAAGCATAAATTGTAAAAAAGGGATTAATTTAAAGCCTGAAATGCTGCATGTGGCTGCAGTGTCACTTAGTGGCTGAGGCACAGTGCAGGTGGGTTTGCTGGCAGTCAGGTCACTCAAAAACCTTTACAAGAAATGCTAAAAAAGAGACTCACTGAAGCCATAAAACGCTGCACATGACCGTGGTGTCACAGAGCAGGTGAGGGCCCAGGTGTGTTCAGTGGCAGGCAGGTGCTCCCCCAAACACCTGGGCAGCAGCTCTGGCACAGCTGAGCAAGGCTCTCAGTGCTCGTGGTCACGCACGTGGTAGCCAAGGTGGCTCCCAAAAGGGAACTGGGCAAAGAAGGCTCTGGCCATGTCATTGATCCTGCTGTAGGCTCCCAAGGTCCGGAAATATTCCACATAGGACCAGAAATCATTGGATGAGAAGGGCCAGTAGGGCAAGGCTGCAGCATCCTGGTAGAGATCTAAAAAAACCCAACCAAAATAAAATATTGCAGATTACCATAATACGAAGCGCTTTTGTTGAGAGGGTGGGCTTGGAGCCACCATGGTTTGGGGTTGTGAGTTCCTTTTGGAGGCTGGTGTGCTCCTCTGGCAGGAGAGAGGCAAGGAGAGCCATTGACCCCTCTCCTGACCCACTCAGCAGAAAATGGAGCCGGTATTCCCTGCTCCAGATGCACCAGGAGTGACAGAGCGGGACAAGATGGGGAGCAGGAAAGAAGGGACACGTCCACATTTACGCCAGTTCAAGGATTCATCAGGCTGGTTTCATTTCTAGAAGGCTGCAGGCTATTTCAAAGCAAGGAGCGATTGCAATCGAAAGCCATTTTTCCTCATTCCACATAATTTGCTTTGCCCCATAAAAAGATACAAGGAATAAGGCACTGTGGCATGGCCCTGCAGCTGGGCACACTGCCCCCAGAACTCCCAGGGACTGGGGCCATACTGCCCTGATGCTGCCTGGAGCTGCAGAGCTGTGCCTCTCCTCAGGGAGAGGGAAACGAGCGCTGGGGATGGAGAGGAAAGCCTTTGGGGGACAGCTGCTGCTCTAGCAGCACCAGAATGTGACAGAGTCATTGACACAAGATTAACAATCCAGCAGCAAAACAAAATCGGTTCTGAAAATGCAAGAACTGACCACCCTTGGGCCCAAATATGGGCAAGCAGAGGAGCAGATATAAAATGTAAACAGCAGCTGAGAGCACAGTCACAAATGTCTTTCTGTGCAGAGAAGCTAAACACAGTATTTTATTTTGATTTGAAGCCCATTTAGATGAATGAAAGTCTTTTCACTCAGCTTGGGGCCAGAGTCTTTAGCAGGAATTAAGAGCCTTCAACAATCCTGTTGTCAGACTTTAATTTTACGGAGTAAAGTTTGCAGCGTGTAGGCACAGATGGCACATAACAAACCAAATGAACCAACAAATGCTGTCTGCAGAGAAGAACTCACTGTTTATACCAGCTGACCTCAGATTCACTTTGCAGGCTGCTGCTTGGCCCAGTGTGAAAGAGAACAATAATTGCTGGTAATGAGAGCAACAGGACACTGCCTGAACAGGGTTCTAATTCTAGATTGATGCAGGCTCTCCTGGCTGTTGCAAAAGTTGCCACAAAAATATTTGCTGTACACAAACACAGATGATATATTAAAAATATTTTAGAGATTATATATTAAAAAGATTTCTTTCTAAAGAAATAGAATGGAGCATAGGGCAAAAAATGTTTGAATGATAAGTAATCATTATTGTGCATTTGTTCTGTTCATATCTGTTGTCTGCATATTTGTGCACTGGAGATGCTGCTGGCTGTCCTCTGGTTAACTGAGATGTACAGCAATGGCAGTACTTGGTTATTGCAGATACTGCTCTGCAACTTTGTTTTTAGACAGAATTCTGTCTGAAAAGCCAAAAAGAGGTTAAATGATAGAATCATCAGTAAGCCAGTGTCAACATCATTAGGGTGTTGAGGGCTTTTTTAATCAAAGGCAAACACTAATCCAATGGACTAATCACACAAAGTGACATGAACCACAGGGTGGCTGTGCTAAGGGATTTATTCCAACATTTCTCTAATTGGATTTGTGGCAATTTGAAATGTTGAGCTTTTTGTCATGAAAACTGGTATATCTCTTGCCAAAAAGCAGATGCACATACGGCATTATGGTTCAGGACAGACAAAATTCTCAGATGTCCTATACATTTCTAAGTCTGGTGCATTCCAGTTAGGATTTTGTACAACAGAATTAGTGACTTGACTGTAATCCCTTTTCATTTTAATACTGGATATTAGCTCTGTTATTATACATTAATATGTCACCACCTTTTAATAAATTTTAAAGGAATTTTTAAAGTTCACTATTCTTTTTTCACCAGAACTAATTGAAAACTTTTCCATAGCCCACTGAGGTTAATAAGTATTCCTGCCAAAGTCATTGCTGGGCATCAAATCTGGGAGTTACAAATTACTCTCCTAATTATCAGTGATACAAAGGAAATAAAAACACATCAGGAATTACCATCTCCATCCTGGATGGATCGGGCATCTGTAAGTAAAGAGGAAACACATCAATACCAGCTCCTGCACAGAAAGACTTTCTGTTAACCAAATATATTCCATGTAGAACTGGTGGAACTAGAAGCTCACAAGTTCTCTAATGCCCACATAGGATCCTCTGTGTAGCCAGAAGATTTTTGTTTCTTGAACAGCAGAGCAAGGAATTCCCTGTTTGCAATCAGTCACTGCTATAAACCAGCTTAGTCTGGCTGTTAGTCAGAACTCACAGCCTGAACAGCTGGGATTAAAATGTCAGCAATACTAAATAGAAGATACTGTATTTGTAACAAAATATTTCTGGGGACTTGAAAAAATAAACAAGAATAAATTTGGTAGAAATCTTACCTGTTAGCATGTTCAGCAGCATACAGAAGAAAAAGAAGCCAGTAAATGTCATCTTGTCTGCAAGAAACTGCTCGTGTTTCTGAAAAGTAATTTGTACAATTGAGGATTATTACAAGAGATTAAGAATTATGCAAACTCTATTATTTCTTGTTTTAATAGAAGAATAGATTCCAAAATAGATCCTAGTTATTAATTTAGGCATGACAAAATCCAATCATATTTCTTATAGCTTCTGAAGTGCAACACAGAGCATTAAAAGATCATCAGTCCTGAAATGTGTATTGATATTTTTGTTTTAGATGGCATAAATCCAAAAGGTGCCTCTGAACCAACATGAAATCAAATTCCAATCATTTGGAAATGTTTGATTTTGTGGTTAATTTAATTTCACTTTGGAAATTACCTCTCTGTTTCTCTTCTTTTCTCTTCTTCTTGCAGCTCTGAGTCAGCTACAAAACTCCAAAAGGATTTCTGTTGCTGTAAAATAGCAGTGCTTTGTAACGTAGGGTGGGGGGGAAACGTCACTGAGTTACTACACCAATCTGATTTTGTTTTCTTCAGGTATGTTAACTGCTCACATTTGCATTATATTTCAGCACTGGCCATGGAAGAGACAGTGGACAGTTTCTGAGAGGAAGTCAGAAACTTTGGCAATAACACTTGGTTTTGGATAATAGAGGGAAAAAATCCAGAAGCAAATTCAGCGATTATTACATTTTCTGCCCTCCTGATTTTCTTTCTGCCCCTTCAGACAAATAGATTTTTTAAAATGTTAGCTGAGCTAAATTGCTAAAAGGATATTAAGTTTCCTCTCCAGCTCAGTCATAAACCCCAGAAATATTTGACAGTGCTTTATGTTCTTACTTATGATCCTTAAAATCTAGACTTTAAAATGTACCAGGCAGCGAGTGTCCACTAAAATCAATTGGGTTACAGTAAGTAAAGAAGGAGGGCCCCGAGCACCACAGCCATGCTGATGGTGCTGGTGCCTTCAGAGGGTCGATAGGGTGCATTGGAATGCATTTTCACATTACACCCATTTCCTGGAAGGATTCCTCTCCCACTCCAAGCAGGTGCTTCGGGCTCCAGCCTGTGCAGGTTGCTGCATGGATCCAGCACTTTGAGAAGCCTGAAGGGGAGACACGGTTTGGAGAATATTCAATTGTCACGTACATCTTGATTGATATTCATCTAGCACACAACCCCTGATGGCAGGAGGGGTGGTCAGGGACTAAGGTGCAGCAGAAAGTGTTCTGTGACTCACAGGCAGCTAGGTTATCTCCATGCTCCTCGAAGATGTGGCAGTTCAGGTCACCTTCCCAAACCTCCGGCTATTTCCAGATATTGCCTCTCTTGAGAGGAGCTACTGAGATGGCAGTGCAGAGCTCACTGTGCACCTTCATGCTGTGAAGTCTGACTGTGCACATGCTGGTCTGAGCCGCACTCTCTTGCTGGGCATTTTCACTTGCCTTTATGGTCTACAAAAGCATTTCTCTGTGTCATTTTAAACACCAGCCTTTCCCAGCTGCATGTGTGGCTCCTGACATCGGTGCCTTTGCTGTACCACATCCACCCATCTGCCACAGGACACAGGGAAATCTGTGCACTCACAAAGTCCTGGAGCAGAGAACCAGGTGAGTGGCCTTGCAGGAGGACCCAGCTTGGCTGGAGTTTGTTCCTATCTACACACAGAGTTAGACAGCTTTGCCAAGAATTAATTCAAGATGTTCTGAGTAAGGAGAAAAAAGGGTGCTTTGTAGCACATCAGGCTGTGCCAAGTCTTGTGGAGGGTGAAAAGAAAAATATTATGAAAGCTGAACCAATTCCATCTTTGAATGGCTTTAATCCTCCTGCTTAATATGTATTTCCTAGGCCTGTAGGAGAGCTCCCTACATAAGCCATGTTCTTGCAGCACCTCACAGACTCACCTGGGCTGCAGAAGCTGTGGTGAGAAAAGGCATTTCCTTGGAGACCTGTGCTGCATGCACGTACCTGGGTGCACCCAGCAGCACTGCCTGTAGAGCCAAGATTTCCCTTTCACTGCCTACTCTGCATATCCTGTACCAATAAAACCCAGAAGCGCTGAGATGTGCTGATACACAAAACAGTCATCAGCTGTAATGGAATAATTGCCATAAAGCTGCTTTTGTGCACATCCATCCGTAGCTCTTTGTTTTGGCTGGTGATAAACCAGGTGTAGTTCCAAGTGAGAGGTGAGATAACATGTTTTGGATGATGACAAAGGAGAATAATGGAGCCACATCCTGCTGCTCTCCTCTTGAGATATTAACAGCATTGTTGGAGGATGACAAACTCCCAGATATTATAAGATTCAGGGTCTATCTGATCACAACATGATCTGCTACAACACTTGATGATCTTGGGAAGATTCCCATAGCTATTGGGCTGACACACACCTTCACACCTACCTCCTCTACACCTTCATATTCTGTATTTTGAAGCTTGGGGTTACTTCCAGAGCCAGGAGGATTGCTGATCTGACATTGTGTGACAGTCTTCTAACAATTACACACTTGCAACTTAATTCAAATCAAAATTTCCCCCTTGCTAGTGCAAGTATTGGAGATGTGAATAAATTCTCAAGGTTTCCATGCTAAAGCAGACCTAGGAAATTATAAAAAGAGGGTAAGACTTAGCATTGAAAACAACTTTCATCAGGGGCTACAGCCTCTTCTATCAACACTTCTGTTGCTGTACATGACTGCTTGTCCCAACTGGATCTGTTTTAAACACAGCATTGGATTAGAGAAAAACTGATGAGTTCTCATCAGCTGCTGGAAGGATTGTGTCTGCTGGGTTCAGTGTGCCAAACAGTGCACAGTGTGCTCTCTGGCTGCTCCCAGAACACACGGTGCTCCGACTTGCAGGGTTTGTAACAGCCTGCAAACACATTCATTTCATCCCTCCCCCCTTTCTTTTTTTCCTTTTCTTTCTCTAGGAGCATTTTCCTTTTTTCAAACTCAACACAGAGGGCAATTAAAGTAACAGCACTGAGTATCCAGCACAAGTGCTGGCATGGATCAGTTAGCAGAGCCCTCTGCTAATAGTTGCTGCCCTGCAGGCTTCTTCACTGCTGAGCAGTAATTGGAGATGCCATGGTGCCCACAAATGCAAACCTTGCTCAGCAGCAGCCACATTTCAGCAGACACTACAGCACTTAACAGGGCAGCTGCTTAATGAGATCAGTGTCTTAATTTCTACTTATTTTGGAAAGAAATTTACTGTTCTCCTTTTTCAAAACAGCCCATTAGCTCAAAAAGCTGTTATTCCTGCTGACAAGAAGTTCTTCAGGTTCTGTACTCTAAAGTTTGCATAAACATTTTTAGCTAAGGCCATTTACTCAGAAAAGCTTTGCTACCCGATAGAAAGGGCTGTTGTTTTTTCCTACCCCCCATCCCAGGAGGATCCAATCAATATGTACTTTCTGTAGATGGCTCTCAAAGCCAAAAAATCCCACACAGAGCCGTGTCAGAGACAGAAATCAATCGGAGCACAGAGGACATTCCCTTGGGAATAGGGGAATGCAATTTGGGCAGCACAGGTGTTTGTGTGACTCAGTGGGGAGCAGTCCTGGAGCTGCCAGCCTGCCTTCAGATGGGCTTCTTACTCACAGGGCTGTTCCACCCAGAGCCAGCCCCTGTGGAGCAATTCAGCTCTCCTTGTCGATTTACTTGAAACAAAGATAAAGCAATACATAAAAGCAAGTTTATGGATGTCTTTGTTTTTTCAATAGCTATGTTAGACTGCTATCACACACAAAAATCTATAATGCTCCAGGCACTGAAAAAACCCTGTTTAAAAAGCCAGAATCTTTCTTATTTAATCAATAGACAAAAGCAAGTGCATGCAGAGCTCCATAGGAACTTATTTAAAAACTAAATAGGACTAATAGATGCATCTGAAATGCTCTGCCCTTGAGCTGAGCAGACAAAATGTTCTCCAAAGGGCTACAGCATTTCTGAACATCAGAAACAACTAATGACAGTGATATATTGACCACCCCTAAAACAACAAACAACAAATGTTTGATTATTTCCTCCAGCAACTTGTCCAAATAATACAGGTCAAGAGGAGATTCCTGTGACAAGAATATGCTTTGCTCAGACAGGTGTAAGGACCTTACAATACCAAGAAGCCAAGTAACAAAGTGACCAGTAAATGTAAAATGAGGTACCTGTGTAAATTTCTCCCACTTTCAAGGCATGTGGTTTCTGACCGTTCCCACTCAAACTGGATTTGGAGCTACCAAAGAGAGGTGTGATATAATGTTCTTTAATGCTCAGTCATAGACAAAAAGACAAATAAGAAGACAGGAAACAAAACCCATAAGACATCACTTTGTCATTGTGCCATTTTGAATATTGCCTGCATTTTTGGTCTCACATAACTCAAGGTCATGATTGAACAAGACAGGATACAAAGAACAGCGTGAGGGGAATTAGCAGACAAGGACCAGCTAAAGCAGACTGAGACCCTTCAGGCCAGCAAAAGGATAACAAGACCTTGGTTTCTACCAAGAGATACCAAATTAGTCTGGCAACAGCTTATTCAAAACAAAAGTAGTGGGGTTTGATACAGTTAAGTTGTGGAATGTCTTGTGACAATGTATTATCAACCACACAGTGTCATGGCTGCAGTGCCTGAGCCTGGCCTGGGAGCAGAGCTGCTCTGCACTTTTGCTCTGTGTCTCACTCCTCTGATACCCTCTGCTGCTGGGCCAGGTGAGCTCCCAGGCTCAGCCTGTGCTTGATCTCACAGTCAGTTACTGAAATATGACAGATTTCCAGTTCTTGTGAACAGACTGCTTTCCTACCAGCAAGTGGTTTGATCATCCTGATACTCATAGCCCCTGGAAACAACTGAAGGGAGACACAGCAGATGGATTTGGACAGTTACAAAACCATTAACAGAATAACTGCAGTGCAATTAGAGATAGCCCAGTGAAAATGAACCACTTGCAGAGGTACTAGAGCTAATTGGGAAGGTCAGAGTTACAAACCCAAGTTAAGGAGTAGCTCTACACTTAAATCAATCACACTTAAGAGCCAACAAGTAAGTGCATCAGACATTTATTTAACTTACCATTTTAACCTCTATCTGAAGAAAGGTTATATTTGTACACAAAATGAGCTGCCAGGGGTGCCCAGGCAGCAGGCAGTGCTGCATGCAGCAGCAGGTACTGAAAACAAAGGAGGGGAGCAATCCTGCTGCATCAGGACCAGTGCAGCTTGGCTCCCAAGGAGCTGATCCTGCCAGGTGTGCCAGTGCCACTCCCCAGGAGCATCCTCAGCTCTCCCCCATTGCTCCTTTGCCCTCCCAGGGCAGCACTGCCAGCTCAAAGCACCAGATTTGGCTTTCTCCAGGGTGCATGCTGCATTGCTGGACAGCACAGCAGTCTGGTGCTCCTGCTCACCAGTCAAGCAGATGTTCCTGAGCCAGCAAACAGCTGCAGGCTGACTTCTCCCCTCCTATCACCACTGACACCAACAGTCTTTTTCTACCAT